CTACTGGGAAAAGTAGACAACGTGCGAGAACAGGTGCGTTATGTAAGCGGAGACATGGAAGCTCCAGAAAGAATCAAAAGGAAATGCAGAGTGCTTTCGACAGGCTCATCAGCCAAGGGAGGAATCAGTGGGCCTGAAGACAGGTCACTACAAACTTCCCAAACCGAACTGCAAAGAGAGGAAGGAACAGAAAAAGGAACAGACCATCCAAGAACTGTGGGGCAGTTGCAAAAGGGGTAACATACACACACCAGAAGGAGAAGGCAGAGAGAACAGAAAAGTAACAATGGCCAAGAATGGCCCAAACTTAATGACAGGAGACACTGAATCACAGATCCAGGAAGCAGAGAACACCAACCAGCAACCACACCTAGGCAAATCCTATGCAAACTGCAAAAAAACAAAGAGAAAATCTTGAAAGAAGCTGAGGGCGGAGTGGGAGGAGGGGGCACATGGCTGCGGATTACAGAGGACATCTCAGAAGAAACTATGCCAGCAAGGGGAGAGTGGAATAAAATATTTAAAGTGGTCAACCAAAGAAACCACCAAACCAGAATTCTATACCAGCAAAACTATCCCTCAAAAGTGAAGGAGAAACAAAGACGCTCTTTGATCTGCAAGAAATGCTCAAAGAAGTTCTTCAGGCACAAGGAACACAATACAGCTCTGAAATTTGGACTGACATAACGAAAGGGACAGCATCAGAGATGAAATTAAGGTAAAATAAGATCTGTTCTTTTTCTTATTCTTAGTTCATCTAAAAAACTACTTATGAAATGACAACAGTAACAATGCATTGGGTTGTGGAGCACATGAAAGTGGCGTGAGTGACACAGGTCACAAGGAACATGAGGGAGAGACTGGGAGATGCTGCCATGAGGCACCTGCACAGGTGAGGAGGCCAGGCTGTTTGCAGGTGGGCTCAGATTTGTTAAAAATGTATACTACAAACTCTGTTATATCCTATAAATGACATAATTGTGAATAACTCATTAACCTCACAATGGAAGGTATCACTTCTCTTTGATTGACATGTCACATAAGATAGATTATTGTTTTCCACTAATTGCATATGCTAACCAGGCATTATTGGGCATCCTAGAATTCTGTAAAAATTTCCCATTATCCTCACATTATTTTTCAAATATTCCAGATTTTAGTAAATATAAACATGGACTTTAAAAAGCTTAGGCCTGGGCTTCCCTGGTGGCGCAGTGGTTGAGAGTCCGCCTGCTGATGCAGGGGACACGGGTTCGTGCCCCGGTCCGGGAGGATCCCACGTGCCGCGGAGCGGCTGGGCCTGTGAGCCATGGCCGCTGAGCCTGAGTGTCCGGAGCCTGTGCTCCGCAACGGGAGAGGCCACAACAGTGAGAGGCCCGCGTATAGCAAAAAAAAAAAAAAAAGCATAGACCCATATAACAGTGAATTTGGATTAAATAATATTTTGGCACTGTGTTCTTTGAAAATCTTATTGTACGTTCCTTCAATATCATGAAGTAACACTGTTAAGTGTTTGGGGGATTTTAGTATTAGCTTATGCCTATGTAAGAAGAGAAAAAAATGTATACTGCAAACTCTAGGGCAGCCACTGAGAAAAAGTTGTTTAAAGTTAAAAAAAATAAAAACACTACCTCAGAGGCGTAGTGTATTTTTATACAGTGAAATGCACAGGGACTTGAAAAGTGGTATGAATGCTGGCACAGGGAAGCAAAGTGAAGCTCTGGGAATAAAAGATCCCACCTTCTACAGGGAAAAAAACAGTGAAAAGTGATGGAATAGCCTTTTACAGAGCGTGCGCGTGTGTGCGCGCGCGCGCACACACACACACGCACACACACACACACACCCTGCTCTAGCTCATCAGGAAGAAACGTGCTTGGCCAGGACACGTCTCACTATACAGACAAAGGTCAAGTTGGAAGCTTCCAAAAGGTCAAAGGTCAAGACGGCAGCTTCCAAAACTCTTTCCTTGCTTGGTTTCGAGGGCTGACATCTGAGGACAGAAACACGGGGTGCTGGCCCGAAGTGCGCCCCTCTCGTGCACACACTCACGACGGCAGTTAAGTCAATACTCAAACGAGTGGATACTGCAGCCTGTGATCACAGGCAGAAACCACACTCTTCTCATGAGTAGACCTCGTTCCTTTAGCTGTGGGCCACAAAGCGGGGGGAAACTGAGCTGCAGCCTCACAGAAAACCGTGAATCCTCCCAACAAGAGGAGGAGCCCAAAGGAATGAGACAGAGGACAAAGGAGAAGTTAATTTTAGCAGTTTCACATCCATTTGGTAAAATAAGAAATGTCTGCAATGTGACAGAGAGATGGCGGCACCCTGGGGAGGTCCTCCGAACCAAGTAGGTTTGAGCTCATTTTCAAAGAAACATACACCCAAGATCATGCAGCTTCTCATTCCATTTTCTCTCGCCTCTTTTTTCTCCCTCATGCCTCAGAAACTCAAAGCTGCTCCCCTTCGGGCCTGTGAGGCTCCCCAGGGCTCTTTCTGTTTTTAAAGAAAAGTAAATGAAACCTGCAGCAAATGAAAACTGCAGCTCCCCTCACTGGGGGCAGGGGGGCTGCTGTTTTTCAGTGGAACAGGGCCAATGCCAAGGTTACCTTCTGTCTGTCACCATGTAACTCAGCTCTTACAGACATCTGAATACTGGGTGGTGGTTTGGGGGGTCGACTGGGATGACAAAGTCCAGCAGAAGGGGCAACAAAAGTCCACGGGCAGCAAAAACCCCAATATATCCGTGGAGTACCAGCTGTCACTTAGCCTAACCCCTTTAAGGTCTGCAAATCCGGGAGTGTGGCTAAAACCCAGGTGCTCTGCTGGGCATGGTGGCTCGTACCCGCCTGCATCTCCCCACGTCGCTGAAGGGATGAGCTTCACTCACTAAGTTCACAGAAGAAAAACCAAGGAAGCAGAAATTACATAACTTACTCACTGTCACACAGAAATTGGTAGGATGCAAATAAGCACCTGACGAGGTTCTGAATCACTGCTGGACCCACTTTATTAATTAGCACAACTAGAAACCTAACCTAAAGAGCCGCCCTGTGCACAACTGTCTTTATGTGGCTCGTTTCCCCCCCCAGATTTCAGATTTCTGGATGGACCATAAATCAGAAGCACTGGCGGTATTTCTGACAACAAAACTGACCATGTCAATGATGAGCAAATCCTCATCATCTTGGAGGGGAAGATTTATGTAACATCAATGCCACATAAAAGGTTACCGTGTGGGGCTTCCCTGGTGGTGCAGTGGTTGGGAGTCCGCCTGCCAGTGCAGGGGACGTGGGTTCGTGCCCCGGTCTGGGGGGATCCCACATGCCGCGTAGCGGCTGGGCAGCGTGGGCCATGGCCGCTGAGCCTGCGCGTCCGGAGCCTGTGCTCCGCAATGGGAGAGGCCACAACAGTGAGAGACCAGCGTACCGCAAAATAACAAAACAAAACAAAAAACCCAGCCTAGTATAATGCCTTCATTTCATAAGCAAGAAAACTGATTTTACTGTAAAAGTTAGCTAAATTAAAAGCATCAGAAATTTTTAAGGACAGATTGTGTTCATGAATATTTAACATTATTTATACACCACATTTCACGTTCAGAAGACTCTCCCTAACTTATAACAACTGTTTCAGTTCACGAATAAAAACCAACGGCTTGAGGCCACAGCATCAAGATCCAGAACAAGGTGGGGCTTGTGAACAAGGCTGGGGCGACAAATGAGGCCGAGTGTGAAAGGCTCCGCTGTGACTCCGGCTTCACGCTCACCTGAGCGTGTGACACGCGTGAGCCCAGACCCGCGAGCACGGTTGTCACCTCCCCGGAGTTACACTTGGACAGAACATGGTGACTGGGGAAAGTCAACAGGGCCTTACAGGACTGACAATCCCACACGGCCCCCCATAAAACTATGATTCAGCAACCCCTCCTTTCCAAGATCTCCACCCTGCCCGTCTGCTCTACTAACGTCTGCCGGCCGGTCCGCCGTGGGCTCGGCAAATCTTCCCAGCACCGGCAGCGGACATCCTGGGGACACTCTGCAGGAGACTCCTGGTCCCCAGCCCCTTCAGAAGGCACAAGCGTGTTCCTTCTCGCCATGTGGCATCTCCAGGGCGAACCCAAGGCTGACTTGATTTGAACCGCAGTCCACAACCTGAAGGCTCCAGACTGCACGCCCGGCCTGGCTCCTTTGCTTTCTGCAACTGCCCTGTCACTGGCCTGTCGCCTCCAGCCTGCTCCCCATGGCTGCTGGGGTCACCTTTCGAAACTCGGGATCTGACTGTGTCACTTGTGCACTTGACAGCTTTCAAAAGGTTCGCCATGGTCCCAGGACAAAACCCACATTTCTCCAAGTTGCGCATCGGACCCTGTATGGCCCGGGCCCTTCCTCCGCCCCTGCCTTCAGACAAGCTCCCGAAAACAGCTCCATGCCCCTTCCCTGGAGCCACGGCCACGTCCCTGTCCACCCGGCCCGCGGCCCCGGCACCGGTGCACTGCCCGGTGCTCTGGCGGGACTGTCTCCTCGCTGCTCCCTGCTCCTGTGAACGCCACCATGTGATGTGCTCACGGGGAATGAACTTGAGCCGAGGGCCATCGGGCGGCTGGGACAAGCTCCAGAGGCCTGTGACCTCCAGGCAGGGAGGTGGACCCAAGCTACAGGGAACTGTGAGGCACTCCCTTCTCGGGAAAGCGAACAGGCAGCACCGCGCAGGGGACGTGAAGGCCAAAGGCTGCGAGGGGAGGCCTCCCGCAGCTGCTGCGAGGAGAGCGCAGAGGCAGGAGCTCCCATCTGCGACACTCTAGAAGCGCCAGGAGCTGCAGCCGTTGCCCGACGCAGGCGCGTCTCAACTCTTCTCTCTGCCCTGGAGGCAGCAGATCTCAGGAAGCCACAAGGAGCCGCCATAAAACAAGCTCTGCCTCCAAAGCCACCCTGTCCTCTACCCCTGACTGGTGCCCCCGACGTGAGGCGTCGATGCAGCTCCGGGGGGAGCCCTACCTGCGCCCTGGCCCCCTACGGCTCCCGCTCCGAGGACACATCCCCCTCGGCCCCACTGCTGGCGCTGCGGTCTTCCTTGCGAGGAGCGCTTCTTTCCTTGCTGGATTCAGAAGGCCCTTTGGCTCTGGTTTTTTCTTTCCTCTGCTGTTGCTTTTCAAGCTTCGACAGCTGGTTATGAAAAAGAAAGAGAATTATTTTACAAATGTAAACTCGTGCCTGTATGTCCAAAGCACCAATTACTTCACAGGCAGCAACCACTAAAAGCACTTTCTGTCTGATAACATGGGGCATCGCAGTGGCTCCGATGTGCCAGATCCCACACCAAGTGCCTGTCTGTCAGACACCAGCATCCTTAATACAGACACATCAGACGTATGACGTCTGTCAGATTTCCCCACCACTCTGCCTGTCTTGGGGTTTTGGGGAGGGGCCCCTAACAGCCTTCTTTGACAGGCTGAGCAGAGCCTGTAAATGAAAAGGCTTTTAGTCTGTTATTTTTTTCTTTGATGTCTCTATAGCTTTTTTCTCACCACTCTGTCTTCCCACTCACTGTCTTCTCCACCATTTGCTGAAGGTGAGAGAAGGCTGTGAATAATGTACATCAGGCACATGAGACATCATCTGGGCCCTCGGTTTGTCCTGAGACTGAAGCCTGACTCGTCCACAGCCCAAACCCTGGGTGTTCCTGGCGGGCTGTGTGGTGGCTACACGGGGACGCTGCCACAGGGCACACGTCCCACAGGCCACCCGGAGCCACGTCTGCCCTGGATGTCTCCCCAGCTTGTTCAGAGACCGGAGACTGGACAGTGGAAAGACAGATCCGCTGACACTCTGCACAACAGTTCGGCCACCCCAGAAAGACCTGCCAAGAAACTCATCCAAGGAGATGGGCCAAGCCATGGCCACGGGATTTTCTTGGACCATAAAAACCATCTATGACAAAGCTTGAGACACGGCAACACCCAGCTTCATGGGCCTCCCAGGTCAAGTCTGCAAACATTTTCCCATTCACGTGGAAAGGGGGAAACAGGGAGGGGCCAGACGCAAAGGAAAGTTACTGTAACCAACCTGCCAGATCATCGCTTTATTATTCTCAGACTCTGAATTAAACCTTTAGGTAGATCAACAATCAGCAGCTCTCAATTTGGTCCAGAAAACCAAGTTTATTAATGGTGGACTTATGGTATTATCTCCGCCACCTCTCAACCCCAGGTGCCTGAACAGCTGTAGTAAACAACTGGCTTGGTTAACAAGCTAATTCAATTTTGTGAATGAAGGCTTCACTTCCCCTTTGACCCAGGACTCCCTTCCCAGAAAGCTCACCTGGATAAATTCCCTCTCGTGTTGCAGGAAAAGCTCCTGTGAATGTGCACCGTGGTATTGCTTGTATTTAGCAAGAACTTAGAAACAACCTGAGAGTCCACTGTAGAAGGACAGGTAACTAGAATGTGGCACAGTCCCACAGAGCGATATCTAGAGCAGATGGACATGTATCAAAACAGATATGTCTCTCGGGCTTCCCTGGTGGCGCAGTGGTTGAGAATCCGCCTGCCGATGCAGGGGACACGGGTTCGTGCCCCGGTCCAGGAGGATCCCACATGCCGCGAAGCGGCTGGGCCCGTGAGCCATGGCCGCTGAGCCTGCACGTCTGGAGCCTGTGCTCCGTAACGGGAAAGGCCACAACAGTGAGAGGCCCGCGTACCGCAAAAAAAATAAATAAATTACAGATACGTCTCTAAACCCGCGTTAGACAAACCAATGTAAGCTTCAGAGGCCAGAACAGTAGGATCCCATTTTCACAAAGCACTACGTGTCACTAACGGGCAGATGGAGGATGGACTGGGAGCATACAAACCAAGTCCAGTTAACTTTGGGGAGAAAGAGAAGAGAATGGGATCATAGTGGGATGAATATACATGGGCTCCAACTGTAACTGTCAGCTTTCACTTCTATAACAACAAAACCAGCTCTAGAACAGCTGCTGACCACTGCCAGACGTGGACTGCTTGCTACTGGTCCTCGGACCACTGACGGTAAGACTCGTGCCAGGATGTAAACCAACATACAGCTTCCTTTGTCAACAAAGTCTTGCTGTGAAAAAGTATCACTGCTAAACTGTGCACTTAGTGGCAAAGCTGAGCTCCTCTGGCCATGGCCTGGTAAAAACTGCTCAGGTACAGGCATGGTGAATAGGATGATCTTGAGCAAAGATGACAACAGGCTAGCACTTTTCTTTTTTTTTTTTTTTTTTGCGATATGTGGGCCTCTCACTGTCGTGGCCTTTCCCATTGCCGGACGGGCCACCTCCGCGGCCCT